CAGATGTTATGATGGTGCAGGCAATATTTAATAATTTAATTTAATTTAGTCCTTGGCTCATGTACATTTTCATTGGCTTGAGAAAAAGGCTTTTAATTTTATATTTTAACTATTAATGCAATTTGATTACTATAGTCTTTCATATTACTTCACTTTTAATCTGAAAAATGTTATGAAGCCTTGAAATTAGCATGGTCTAGTACACTGCATGCTCCTCTTTAGACTCGCCCCTGTTTGCTGCAGGTATCACCTACATGTGAAATAGGATGGCTGCTGTCAGCCTTTACCTAGCTGTATGATTTAACCAGGCTGCTATCAGACTAAGTTAACAGTTAATCTGCAGATTTTAATACAGCTTCTGGAGGCTGACTGCAGGTTTTTTACTGTGTAAAACAAACAGGAGTGGATGGAGCACCAATAAGAGTTTTTGTGATTAAGCACTCCTGCTAGCTTTTAATGGTGATCACAGGAACATCGCTGGTGTTTTGGACACTATAAACAAGTTTTTCACTCTACGTAGGCTCACAGAGGCTCTGCCTCTTTGCTCTTCAGCTGGAAACAGACTCCGCCTCGCCATTAAAATGTGCCAGCGTCATCATCACTACAGGGTGGGCCATTTATATGGATACACCGTAATAACATGGGAATGGTTGATGATATTAAAGTCCTGTTTGTGGCACATTAGTATATGTGGCTAATGGGCACATGGCCCTCTTCCTATCCGGTCGTTAAGTGATGACGTGTCGAATCCTACTTCCGGGTCTAAAGTAGTCTGCGTTTAATATGGCTTTTGTGTTGTTAACATGTTTAATGTTTTGTATTTTCTTCTATTTGATCTCAAAAAGCTTCTAAAACAGTCAGTGATCACTGTTGACCTCCCTCGGCTTTTATTACCGCTAATCATTTATTTAAGCTCAGTTTTTAAAACCTTAGGATGTAACTACAGCCCAGCCCATGCAGCAGTATATTAATGACTAACCTCGTATTATGGATGGATTATCTCAGTTGTTCTCCTGGCTGAAGTTTGGTCCTTTTACAGCATCCTGCCATGCGATTACATTTGTTCCTGACCACCGAGAACATTCACGTTAACTTTCATCAAGTGGAAAAAAGTTAGCTTGTTTATATTATGCTAACATAGCTGTGTCGCTAGCGGTCACGTAGCACATCATTATATACCAGCTAGCCAAACTTCAGTAACCCTACAAACGTCACTGCTGTTTAGCTTTCTGTCTTCATTTATGTTGGAAGTGATAACAGAGCTTTACGTTTTAATTTGTTTCCAAAACCCCGCAGTCAGGACATGCTATATTGTATTTAGATAGAAGCTAGCGAGCTAACTTCCTGCTAACTTCTAACTCCGTTAAATGTCATAAATTCCGTTTTCATGGATGCCTGGATGTTAAACTCAATTGTTACACCTGGTAGAGCAGAACGCTGATCATTTTATTAAAGATGAAAGACTTTAGACAGTTTTTCAACTCTCAGTAGTGCCATAGTGATCGTTTGATATATGGACCTGCAGCGGAGTTTAGGCCCAGACACGGCTAGTGACGTCAGACTTTACGACCGGATTGAAAAAAACAAAAGTTGTATCCAAGATGGCCGACTTCTAAATGGCCACCATGGTCACCACCCATCTTGAGGAGTTAGCATTGGCGCCTCTGCTCTGCGCCTCTCGCCCTCACATATACTAATGTGCCACAAACAGGACTTTAATATCACTAACCATTCCCATGTTATTATGGTGTATCCATATAAATGGCTCACCCTTTACTGCCGTTTTTTTAACAGTGTTTATGTTTAAAACTGGAGGCTTAATGTGGTCATTTATTCATACCCCTGTTTCAAAAATCTCTGTCAGAACATGGTAGGTGGAAACTAGCGAGCTAACTTCCTGTTAACTTCTAACTCCGTTAAATTTAATAAAATCTGTTTTCATGGATGCCTGGATTTTAAACTTAATTGTTACACCTGGGAAAGCAGCAACGCTGATGATTTTATTAAAGATGAAAGAATTTAGACCATTTTTAACTCTTAGTGTTCGTTTGACTTTGGGACCTGAAGATGACCGAGTTTTGGACCCAGGTTACTCTGCGAAGCTCCTCACTACGGCAGCCGTAATGCTCTGACAATCCATCAAGCAGTGTGGCTTACCAAAGTTGTACTAAAACATTTTTTAACAGATTTCTGCACGCCAAAATCGGTTTGAGGTCAGTAAGCACAACCAGAATTCATACATAAGGCACACTCTCGATTTTTTGAGAAAATTAAAGGATTTTAAGTGTGCCTTATAGTGTGGAAAATGCGTTATACAGAAGAAAAGAATATATCGTGATATATATCGTTACCACACGTGCTTCAAATGATACCCCGATATGGATTTTAGGCCATATCGCCCAGCCCTAATATCAGCCAAATATATACAAATATATACATATTGGGTTTTTATTGTGTTGGGGTTTTTTTTTGTTGTTTTTTTTTTTGAAGCATCAGTCTTAACACTTCTGTGTTAGTCAATCGGTAATATCAGTACATGAATGCTACTTTCACAATCATCACACATTTACACACAAAACATCTTGATAGGTTTGTATTATCCACTAAGGCAACAGATGTAGTCTGAGCAGCATGCTAATGCTTTAGCTGACAGCTCTGACTGGTCATCAAGGCTCAGCTAGTTTGTCAGTTTTTCTTTCTTTGTAAATGCTGGCTTTCATCACTCTCACACCAGCTGATGCGATGTTGTCCACCACTTGTATGTGCCAGAAGCTGTTCCTTCTGAGGTATGCAGCATTGGCAAATTCAAAGTGACCTCTAGTATCCGAGAAGTTATGTGTATTGCGTGGTCATATCTTAGATCTACAACTGCATTTTAATGAATTATGTTCATACATTTTCAAGAGTTCAGCAGAGAAAGACTCGGGTTCAAAATGATTTTTTTTTTCTTCTCACTTTTGTACTTTTTATGTTAAAAACATTAATGTAATCAGTTCACATTAATTATAGCCTTGAATTTATTTTTTCATCTTATATTGTGAATATCAGCTCTTAAAGATGAATACAAAAACAGACCTTCTGCAAGTCTGTTTATTTCTTCTAATTATTAGTCCTTTATTTAACCAGGTAAAAAAAATCTCAGTGAGATTAAAATCTAATTTCCATAATAAATATTAGTACTCAGTATAGGGCAGTCCCTCGTGTCAATGAAATTGTATCACATGGAGTTTAACCATGTACTGTGTGTTAAGTTAACTTGGTGTTTCCGTAGATTGCATGAGTGTATAGCACAGACACATATCCTTACTAATTACTATAAATAAAAGTCCAGAAACTCCCAAACACTCTGGTTTTTGAGCATGAAGCTTAGCAGGCTCTGTTGGGATTAGAGTGGTTAACCCTAAGTCTTCTGTGATTTAAACTGATAAGTTGTTTAAAACAAAAATATCATCCCTTGTTATCTAGCACAAGATAAATAAGGACTAAATCATGAGTTGTAACATCTGGTGACACACAGGCCCACAAAACCCAGAAAGTTTTAGCAAATGAGCTCTTGCTATTCATTTGTTTAGTCTTTTAAATGCATTGCTATTATCATAGGTTTCATTATGATCTGTTTTATGGGAGAAAACAAATGTATCCTAAAGCAGCTATTTGCAGTAAATTAAAACTACTTTTTGCTCTAACATGGCAGTCTATTGGGTCTAAATCACTTCTGGAGCAAGCCTCATGAGGGACGTTCTAGGAAATGCAGCTCTGGACTCAGCATAAACCACGTTTATTATTCATTTCTAAAATTATGTGGATTGTAAAATCAGCCATGAAAGTTCAGTTTGATACATTTATCAGCTAGGTTAATTAACAACTAGCTAATAATGCCCATGTACAAGACAGTTCTTGGCATTCAACTTAACAAATCAGACACTGGAGCTCCGACTGGACCCAGATGTCTTCACCAGACTATTTTGGGGATAAAATGTAGTGACAGCACGGCTGGAACAATGCACAGATTGGATAAGTCGAATGAGCAGAGGCGCCAATGCTGACATCATTGGCATTAATTAAGTCCAGAATGCATTAATCACAGTACTAGACATTACATTTGCTTACATAGTTATACAGAGAGTTTGCAGTAAAACTGATCTAGTACAACTGATCTAGTGCTGTCACACGAGTACAGTATGAATTCTGTCTTCTCTCTGTCTCCCTATGATCCAGGTTCTGTTGCTGTTTCCAGCTCAAAGAAGTCTTACAGCAGAGGTTTTCTTCGCCGTCTCTTCAGTTGTCTGTGTAACAAAGACGCCAAACCACCTCCAGTAAAAATCAACGCCCCTCTCTCGCTAGAAGAAAATGGGACAAAAGTAAGTGCATCTTTTAACCCCCCTCCCTTGCTCTTCCCTGAGATATCAACTTTCTCTCACCCTCCCCCTTGATCATCTTTGAACAGCATGTGGGCAGCATGATTGGCAGCTGTTTGATGCCTGAAACACATGTTTTCTTGGCTTCCATATTGGTTTCTTGGCTTTCATGTTTACAAGAGCATCTCCCCCGGGCTTGGTGAAAAAGTACTCCATGTTCAGACATCAATCATGGACTTGTAGGAAAGCCGGAAATGGCGTAAATGTTGCAGAAATGCATGCCTGATCTGTCATTGCTGCTTTGCAATGCTTTCTCGGAAGATGCCATTGATCAACACATGTTAGCGTAGCTGTTTTTACCCTTTTAGTAGAGGGGAATTCTGGTAGACAGTATGAGTTGTTCTTCTTCTTCTTATCATCATTATTATTATTATTATTATTATTATGTTTGAAGGTAGGGTAAATATAAAGAACCATACTAATTAATATTAGATTATAAATTCATAAACAGAAACTTGTGTGATGACAAAATATAAAAATGACTGGAATGTGAGGGCCTGATCTTATGTTTCATACAGTTTTTTTTCTTCTTGTGTTTTTGGACAACTGACAATACTAATTATGGTTAAACTTGGTGTAGCCTTTGAAAACATCACTTTTGGCTGCTACGGTCTCAAGATCAAGTGGCCAAGACGTTCTCAAGTGTCAGTTTCATATTTATGCCTTAGTTCAGCCTTTTATTGAGATTTGATATTCCACAAGTTATTTGTCACGTCTTTCCAAGTCCCCAAAATAAATTTCTTGGTCTCTGGCAAAGGGAGGGTCGAGTCAAGTGCTCAGTCTCAGTTTTGGTTGTGACAACCTGTCATGTCATCAGGCATGCTGCTCCTGTTGCTGTTACTCTCTCATGCAGACTGCTACTCCCCCCCACCAGCTCTGTGACTTTTCACTCTGAATGGACTTTACAGTTGGATGCCAGTCATTTGGGAGTTGGTCTCTACAGATACAAATGCATGGAGTAAAAGCTTTGGACAAAGTCTGATAAATACTTTCGTGATGTATTTGGAAAACTCTGAGCAAAACAAAGGCACTAGAGAAGGGGAACCATCCACTGAAGCCATGTTTGCTGAGCAGTGCCAGGTCCCCAGATTAACAGAAGCTGCAGATCTCACTGGCCCATCAAAGGGAAGTGCTGAACTAGGAGTAAAGGTTCTCCTTCAGGAATATACTGAGCAGGCTGTCAGCGAAGAAATGGACCCATCTATTCCTTGTTTGGAACAATGCAACCTGAACTCGGATGAGCTTGAATCCTGCACATACTTTAATGGACACGCTGACAGCTTTGAGCAATATTCAGAGAGCAATGGATTTTTTGAATCCGACCAGATCCTCGATAAGTGCGAGACTTCAGAGTTAAGCCAACCGTGTGATGAATGTACTCAACACTGTGAGTGTTTTAAGTCCTCTGAACACTGTGGTAATCATAGCTCAGCTTCTGAATGTAGTGCTTGCTGTGAACAGTGCGCAGAACACCTCCAATTATTTCAGAAATGTAAGCCCTCCGATCAGCAGTTGGAGATTTCTGACCTTGACGCTGATGAATTGGAAGTGAACTGTGGCAGTTTGGGCCTTTGTGGAAGGTGCGATTTCAACCTTGAATGCACAGACCACCCCGAGGCTCTACAACAATATGAGCCGTCACAACAGCAGAGTGACGGCTTTGACTCCGAGTCAGACACATCAACAGAGAACTTTCAGCAATGTGAAACCATGGACTCACTCAACTGTAATCCTGAAGTCTGTGAGTACGACGAAATATCAGATGAAACTGAATTTACAAATGATGAAGATTATGAAGAAGCAGAGGAAGAAGATTATTATGATGATGATGATGGCGATTTTGAAGATGATTTGAGCTATAAAGCCAAACAAAATGAAACAGAGTTCAGTGATGAAGAATCTCACAGTTCCTCAGAAGACACACCTGTACAAGTTTACTTTGATGACACTGAAAATGTTGCCTTTGCAACTGATCTCTGGGAGACGCACGAGTACACCAAAGAAGACTTTCAACAAGCTCTTACGACAGAGGTGTCCACGGAATCTGGTGAGCCGTGTGGAAATGATGACTACGAAGTAAGCCAAGAACCGTATAAATCCGAGTCCAGCGGTGAAGAAGATGGTTCCTCAGATTGCTCCTCTGTGGAAACCAAATCCTTTAAGACTTGTCCTGAGGGCAGTATTCCATCTGATCCCTTCTCCGATTCATCTGAGGAATCTGACAAAGGACCTCAGGAAGATTCCAGCGATGAGCAGACAGAGTGGGAATCTTTTGAAGATGAGGAAGTACAGCAAAGTGATGAGAATAAATCGAAAACTGTTGATGTCACTGTTGAGGATTACTTTGATTTGTTTGACAAAGTGGACTATTATGGACACATATTTACACAAAAGCAGCGCTACATCTCTTGCTTCGATGGCGGAGATATCCATGACCACCTGTATCTGGAAGAAGAGGCAAAGAAACATAAAGCCAAAACTTTATATCAGTTTGAAGATATTAACAGGGAAGCTAATGTAAAAGACACAGACACTTGTTCTGACGATGCATCTGAAGATACTTATGAGGAAGTGGATGTGGACCAGAGTGATGGGTCTTGTAATTTAGAGACTCAATCTGAGGATTGGCTCATCGCAAAATCAGAATCAAGTTTTGAAGAGGATGACGAAAGCAAAACAGAGAACGGTGTCGTTTATGCAGAAAATGATGAGACAGCCGAGGATGATAAAGCCCCTATTGATGAAGAAGCGTGTGCCTCTGATGACCACGTTTCTGAAGAAGCTGAAGTTCGCCCATCCACTGGTCCCGAGGGGAGCATGTTTGCACCATTAGCCAAGGAAATTTCTGTTGAAGGTGATGCTTATGAAGATATTTTGTGCAGTTCTCACTATTGTGAACCCAAACCTTCTGCAATTGATGAGACTGCGAGCATCACTGATTACACAGAGGATGACAAAGCCAAGCCTGAGCCTGAAGACGACGTATTTATTACATGTTCTGAAAAGGAACCGTACTGGTCACTTATAGATAATGATGAAAATAGACAGCTTTGTGAGCCAGGTGTTGAGGAATACTATGTCTATCAGATTAAAAGCATTCAGTCATCTTTTAAACAAGCCCTGAATGGATTTATTTTAGAAAGAAACTCGCATGATCAAATAACTAATGATGAGAATGCTTCTAGGAGTCAGAGTCAAGATGCTCTAATATCTCTGAAAGAGCTGGCGGCCACTGGGTTGTGCCCAGAGGAGTGCGTGTCCGACACATTTGGAATTAATGAAGTTATTGACATGAACAGCTCAGCTGTTGAAGAGGAGTGTGTGTTAAATGAGATTTCAAAAGAAACTGGACCCCCTGTAGGAATTATTCACAGTGTTCAGGAAAGGGACATGGTGCTTATGAAGACTGAAGATAACAATGATTCTGAACAAAGCAGAGAGTCAGACGAGGATCAGAGTGACGATGAGTCCTATGAGACTTGTGAATGTGATTACTGCATCACACCAACTGAGGAGGTATAAGATAAGAAGTACTTCATTTATCCCAAAGTTGAGAAATTTGTTTGGTAAAATTACATTAAACACAACAAACATATAAAAAAAATTTATCTTTAAAGTAAAACGAATTGGAAATAAATTTGAAATATAGTAAAGCAGAAATGGGTATAAGTTTGTTATACATGATAATATTTAAAAATTTTCCAAGTTATAGCCCGACCAAAGTATCAGGGATTAAACATCAGGCAGATACAATGGTGTCTGATTTTATAAAATAAAATTAAAAAATTAAGTACAGAAGAGACGAGAGGAACACCTTAAACCATGTTATGCGTGTGGTATGCAAAATATCCAACATTAAAAGGGTACTCTGTAACTTCCCTGCTGGCAGCATGTGATTGGAAGACCATAAACAGAATAATGGTTTACTTCTGCTTGACTTGTGACAATGAAAAAAGATAAGATTAATTTTTTTTAAACGGAATTGTCATATTATCTTGGTAAGGAGTTGTAAATAAGTAACAGATGTACATTTTTTTGTTTTTACAAAAAAGAAAAAAAAGAAAAGAAAATAGCAGGAAATATATAAAACCAATGAGATATAGATAGATAGATAGCAAGCATTGGTCTTCATAAAGGAAGCTTAACACAGGCAAGCTTCCTTACACTAGCTGACTCAAAAAAATCTAAAAATGCCTGTGGAGGTAACGGTTATCATAACAGTGGTTAACAAATTTCTCTGTTTTGCTGGGCTTCAAACTGTGTGTGCACTCATGTACATAGGGGGTATTTAACACGTCATAAGAATACTTCTGTGCAAAATGATTACTGTGAGTGCCGCCTACTCCAAATGTTATCTGATGAGATCTTTAAAGAACACAAAAAATATAATCTTCAAATACAACATAATCACAAATAAAATAAGAGATTAATGCTAAAAATAATCAGTATTGTAATTCAGTAGCCCTATTCAGTATTTGTAAAAAGTGTTAAAATAAAATGAACCTTAATCATTTTAATGCTTAGTGCTGCTCAGTGCTGATGTCCAGTTTTAAGGTATTGAACGACTGAACGGGAATTCTTGGCTTGTGTTCTGTGCTGTCGTAGCTCCAATTCTATTTGCTTAAAAGAAACTTGTCAGCAGAAACGAGGAAAACAACATTTGTATATTTTCTGCATCACCAAATAAATTCCTGTGATTGAAGAGTAGGTGTGTAACAGAAGTGTCTTTTAAAAACATAAAATAAAGAAAAGAGAAATAGATCAGGTTTAAATATGTGATAAAATATTACTTTAATTTGATTTATTTGCCTTTTTATCCTCTAAATATTTAAATAAACAGTGAATTTTTTGACATTGTTAACTAATAAATGTACATTTTCAAACTGATGAGTCTTGCTGCGGATGGGGTCAACACAAAAACGTTAGCTACCTTAAAAAGAAAAAAAGAAAAATAGCTTTTAGCCCTTTTTATCATGTTAACTCAAAGGTTTCTGGGAGAAAATAAGGCGATAAATACAAAATGAAGATTTTACAAATTAAATAATTAATCAATCAAAAAATTTAACAAGAAATTAAATAAGGAGGAGAACCTATATGTTAAATTAAAATAATAGTAATTTCCTTTCTTTGCACGTTATTGAATGCATGTTTTTATCATTGCAGTATTTTTGGTGCATAATATTACCTTCTTTTGCTATCTTAATCTTATCTTAATTAATATTTTTATCTTATTTTTTTCATTTGATTGTTCTGATGCCAACCGTGGCAGTGAACACACAGAACTGAGACTTGGCATATTGTGTGGTATCTGTGTCAAATTCCAGCTCTGCCATTAGGCTCACGTGGCAGCTCACTGATGGACAACACATCCAACAGTGTTACCAACAACTTGTTTGTTTATACCAACTTGTTTTTAGAAGCCGAATCACATTAATGAACTCTAATCACTGACCGCACGTTGACGGATGAGACACACTATAGCGATATCTACATGTTCCGTCAGCACAGTAGCAGCTGTACCATCCCAGGTTCCCCGTAACCTCTTACTGAAACAACACAACACTGTTAAAGCGCTTAAGTGACTAGAAACACAAGCACACACTCATAATAATCCGAATGACTTTCCCAGCATATTGAAATGGTGAGACCGTATTTCTTGCGCATGTTGTATTTGAAACTTCACTGAAAAAATGTTTTTGCCTTACACAGCTGAGGTCTAAACTGTGTGCTCTTCTTCAGCTGCCCGGAGAACCACTGCTCCCACAGATGGAATCAAATGATGAAGGAAAAATCTGTGTGGTCATTGATTTGGACGAAACACTAGTGCATAGTTCATTTAAGGTAAGATATATATATATATATATATATATATATATATATATATATATATATAATATTTATTTGGATTACGATGATTCTGTAGACCTTCTTACATTCTTGGCCTTGGTTCACATGGACCCTCTTGCTCTTATTTCTACTAGGCTTCCATGTTAAAGTAATTAGTCTACCTGCGGAAAAAAAAAAAATATATATATATATATATATATATATATATATATATATATATATATAATATTTATTTGGATTACGATGATTCTGTAGACCTTCTTACATTCTTGGCCTTGGTTCACATGGACCCTCTTGCTCTTATTTCTACTAGGCTTCCATGTTAAAGTAATTAGTCTACCTGCGGAAAAAAAAACATACAAAGGAGACACATGATTGGTACAAATTTAGGGGAGACACAACATATTTTATATTTTTCACAATCCAGATCCAGCCTTCAACATAAAACCCCAAGATCTTAGGAAATTAATATTAGATTTTATAGAAAGAAAAGTAAATCTGTCTTCTATAGAACACCTACATAAAATTCATATTTACATAAGATATTTTGTGAAACTATGTTACTGCATTCATGAGTGTTGATATACTGTATTGCGTGTTTTTAATGAAGTATCATGCAGCTTCCTTTCGGGCTGTTTGATACCTTGTATGGTAGCATTCAGTGAATAAAGTAATCAATGCCAGAAGTCGAGGCTCCTGTATCACGACAAATTATGTAATGAATGCCGCGTGCTGTTTAGTCCTTCTGCGGTCACAGCCTGTCCTGAAAGATGTCACCGGATATTAGTGTCGGCTAAACGGGGTCACACCTCCTCTGAGCTCCATGTTTAACACAACGCGGAGTGTAAAAGTTGCTGTTACTTTGACACATGAACTGCTTTAAGAGTTCTTTATATCTGAAAGAAAGGGTGGTTTGTTTGTTTTTTTTGGTTTTTTGGGGTTTTTTTTTTTTTTTTTTTTTTGCAAAAAGCTGCTAAAATTAATGTCATAATGAAATGAAATTAGCTTTGGGTGCACAGTGTTTGATCTGAAAGAGATCTCAGTGACCTTCTCTACTGTGGTTTAGAAAATCTTACCATTAAATGATCAAACAGTTACATCAAACATGAAAGAAAATAACAATAATAATGTATAAAAGAAATGTATGGATGTTTAGTTAAATGCATAAGAATTTGTATGCAAAGTATCACTACACAGTTAAAGCCACAAAAGAACATAATAGTGCAAATTAAATCAATGTAATACAGAGGTAGATATAAATTATCACAAGTTTAAAAAAATGCATTACAGTATAATCACCCTGTTTACCAGTGAAGGTGAGAAAAAAGCCAGTCTTGTCTATACTGGGGTGTTGAAATGCTTGGAAGTTGTTGAAATGTTCTTGTTAGCTCACACAGCCTGCTCGCTGTAAGCTGATGGTGAGCAGATCTAAAAGAGGATGGAGTTCAAGCTGCTGCTATTGCTGGTGAAATTTGCTTGAGAATAACGACAATGTTTTATTAACTTTGTCTGCCATTAGAATAAATGATCAAAATCATTTGCACTATTTGCTGCTGCAGGAAATAGGAAAATCCCGTGCACGTGAATGCATACTAACAGCTTCTGGATATACTCAATCTGTCTTACTTGCATTAGCTCATAGTATACCAATTTAGGCCATGGTCTTATACCATATATGGAATACACTTGCAATGATGCTGATATCAGAGAAGCAGCCTTCTCACTTTCTATAGTGCCTATGTTTCAGTAATCGATGGGAGAAGAATCCATTTATTCAGTGTTTGTGCTTCTCAGAGGCGGCTGGCACAACATTTTTGCTCAATTTGTTGCCGTCATTCTTTTCTCTGTTTCAAAGAGTTCTTTGGAAATTATAAGTTAAACGTTTTTTTGTTTTTTTTTTTCTTTTGTTTCAAACAGCCAGTGAACAATGCAGATTTTATCATTCCAGTGGAAATTGATGGAACAGTTCACCAGGTAGGACCTTTATCTGCTTAAGTTACTGTTTGCTGCTATAGTAAATTTGACATCACAAGGGACCCTAAATCTCTTTTTTCCCCCATGCACTCACCATGCCTGTTGTAAACATCAAACACAGACGTTTATCCTTGCTTCAGTTTGCACGCGAAGTAGTGTACATGCAGCCTGACAGAGCTGTAGCCCTCTCTGTTGATGGCTCCAAGCAGCAGGTGCCTATTTCAGTGGCCTGACGAAATGAAGGAAGCTTGGCAGGCTTCTCAGAAAACACGGCCATTAATCTCAGTATGCTGAGCATATTATGTACGGTGCTCATTGGGATGGCATTACCTTTCCCCTACTGGCTTCAAATGGCAACTGCAGTCTGTTGTGCTTGGCCAGAAGAAAGAAGAGCTTTCAAAAGGCCTGGGTCTGTTTCAAGTAATCCAGGATAGGCTTGTTAAAGTGGGGAAAGCCTATTCGGGATGACTTGGTTCAGAAACAAGGCCACCGGCATCTCAGTGGAGGTAGATGTAGAGTTCTATTAAGGTGCTTCTGCTTTGTTTTATTGCACATATTATTTCTTCTTTATGTTATGATAATAATGGCATATGTAGTTGACATGATCACTTTTCATTAAGGGATATTTTTGATAAAAAGAGAACTGACATGTTTATTGGCTGTTTTTATATTCACTTCAGTTTATTTACAGCAGTTGTTTCAAGAGCCTTTATGTTGTAAGGAACGCAAGAACCACGGTGACAGTGGGGAGGAGGAACTCCCTCTTAAGAGAAAGTGATATCCAACACAGCAAGGTTCAGGGAGGGGTAGCCTTCCCCCTCACCCCAAGATTTTACTAATAGACTTGATCTGAACTACAGTGTTTATTTACATTTGTTGTCCTTTGAGCTTTTTATGGTCAGAATCTGTCTCTAATAGCAGCACCAATTCTGGATTTATTTCTTTTTCTCCTGCACTCAGGTGTACGTGTTAAAGAGACCCCACGTTGATGAATTCCTAAAGAGGATGGGAGAAATGTTTGAGTGTGTTCTGTTCACTGCAAGCTTGTCAAAGGTATGTCCTCATCCTTTATAAGCAAACCATTACACTTAGGATTACTGGAGGAAAAGACTCATTTTCTGAGTGATCACCAAATGTTTTCAGTTTGCGGTTTTGTACGTTTGGTTTCAGACTGCTATAATAACCTTGTAGTTATGTCATGGACTTGCATTAAACCACTTGGAGGATAAAGTTACGAGATGGCAAATCCAGTTTGTTTTGGTATTGCTTCTATAGTATGCGGATCCTGTGTCAGACCTGTTGGATAAATGGGGGGCCTTTCGGAGCCGTCTTTTCCGGGAAGCTTGCGTCTTCCACAAAGGAAACTACGTAAAAGACCTGAGCCGTTTAGGAAGAGACCTCAACAAGGTTATCATCTTGGACAACTCCCCAGCCTCCTACATCTTCCACCCCGAAAATGCAGTATGTCATTTAGATTACTTTGTCATTTAGATTACAAACACTGTCATTCACAGAAAAGTCATAGTGGACTATCTAAAAGAATTTCTAATCCCACCATCTGCTACTTTTGTCCGCACCTCCAGGTTCCTGTAGCATCCTGGTTTAATGACATGTCAGACACTGAGCTCCTCGATCTTATCCCGTTCTTTGAGAGACTAAGCAAGGTGGACGACATCTATGACATTCTCAAACATCAGAGTACTTCACAGAGTTAACAGAGGCGGGATAATAGGATGAAGATGAGCACCAGCGGCTGTCATCCGGGGGCCACGGAGGCCGGTGGGCAGAAGGCTCCACAGTGCTTCCCAATACAAGGACCACACTGCAATAAAGGGCTGTCATTTAATCTAAGATTCTCACAGCAGTACTGCATTCAAAGTGACAGCAGCCTTCCAGCTGGGTTGAGTGCTGCTGTGCAGGAAGTTGACCTGAACGCTGTGACAGATCTGTTTTTCTTTTTTGTGATGTCCAAGATGGTTCATATGTGATTAAATGACTTCTGGAGATATCTTTTGCAGTGCAGCTAGCGTGTTGTTGTTGTCGTTTTGTGACAGCACTGACCTTTGTAAGTTTGCTGTAAAGCTAGATTGTGCGAGCAGTTGTTCAGCGTGATATTACAAATTCACCATTATCAGTCATTTTAATGTCAGTGAAGCAAAAGCATTTGAAGTTTTCACACAGCAAATAACACATCACCGAAGACTGTAGCTCAAATCCTGCTGAGCTAATATATATACAAAAAAAGTTCATCTTGTATTGCTTATTTTGATGTTTTCTAAATATTGTATATTTTACTGTATGTCTCTGAAAAGCTTTGAATAGAATATACCATTTAATGTAGCACTTGCTTTTACATGTAAAAGATGTTTTTCTTTCTTCATCTTTTTTTTGCAATAGAAAAAAATATCCATTAGTCTGCTGTTAGTGAATATACACTGCTCAAGAAAATTAATGGACTACTCATCACAGTCCGTCTGATAAGGAAGCAGAAACCAATGAATCCATTGCACCTACTTAAGTCAAAGCTATGACAGCTACACTGGAGAGATGACAACAAGACAACCGACAAAAAGTGAGTGTTTTTCTTTAGTTTTGCTTTTTGTTACGGTTCTTGTCATTCCTGGTAGCATGAGAGCAGCTCATTCAGGTTGCACAGGTAGTCCAGCTTCTCCAGGATGCTCCAGCATCCGTACATGCTAATACAAGAATCTTTGCTGTGTCTGCTAACACAGTCTCAGGAGTGTGGAGGCGATATCAAGAGATGGTTCTTTACACAAGGAGAGCTGGATTATGCTGATTATGCGACTTAGCAAAAGGGCCGGTATTGTCTTCTTCTGCAAGAAGGAACAGGAGGAGCATTGCCAAAATGGCCTCTAAACTTGGGAGGTCTACCACTGGCACCGCGTTCTCTTCACAGATGACAGCAGTTGACACTGAGCACGTCTGTAAGATGTGATAGAGTCTGATACTGTGGTGAGCATTAGCCAGGACGGCTGGTGTGGCAGCGGTTTAGTGATGATCTAGGGAGGCGTTTCCTTGGAGGGTCACACAGATCTCCATGTGCTCTTGAACCGTACCTTGATCATTGTTAAGGATAAAGTTCTCAGAGCCACTCTCAGATGTTATGTAGGTGCAGTGAAAGGCAATGGTCGGCTGCATGTAGTCTGTGCGTAATTCCAGAATGACAAGACACTGAAGCCATGGAGTGGACCTTATATTCACCAGAAGATGACTCCAGCTGAGAAATTGTCATACATCTGATGCTGTGACCTGTCGCCCAGACTCTTCAGGAACTCATAGATGACGTTATCCAAATCTAGGAAGAGATCATCCAGCATACTGTACACCATCTCACCAGGAGCATAAGTTGGATCGCCTGTGATCTCCATTTTAAGGAGTAACGTCCTCAGTCTGTCGGGCAGGTGGGCACTGGAGAGCATAGACACCTAATTTTGTAAACACAATAACTCAAGAATTCTTCTTCGTTCATTAGAAAGTCACCTAGGATTTTCATCTGCTAGGAGGCTGCAGGGTAGCACCAATATTTTTTTATTAACTAACATTATTTAAAGGTCTCATAGTGCTGATGATTCTGGTTTCACGTGACTCACCTGATTTTAAAATAACATTTTATCAAATGCAAAGTAAGTGTTCCCCTAATTTCTTTGAGCAGTGTAGTTTTTATTCCGTTACTAAATCCTAGCATTGGTGGAATATGTGAAAATCATTTTAGAAGATGTTTTAGACTGTATATAACAGATGGGTGCAGCTTTAGGGTCTAAAAGTGAAGCAGGAATTCCTCAAACTTGCATTTTTTGTTTCTCTCTCGAAACATGGGACTTTACAAACCAATGGGTGATGTCATGAGAGCTACATCCATCTTTTATATACAGTTTATGGTTATGCAGTTCCAGGCACGAACACCAGGTTCTTTTATTTTTGCAATTTCAACCTGTAAAGCTTATAAAGCTTAGTCAGGCTTTGTTGTACTGTATTTGCAGATGGGTGACAAAGGAAAAACCAGTGTCAGGTTTCTCAGTAAGAACGACTTCAGCATCGATTTAATTAGTTCCTTCAATTCTAGTGGATAGGATAACACTCTGCCAAATGATATCACCTCATCTGGTGTTTTGTTGTTGCTAATGGAGAGAGTTGTCAAACATGCCAGCCCCAAATCTCCCTTAGTTATTCACTTGGGTCGAGATGTTATGACTGCAAAGTCCAAAGTATGATTTATATATGTTCAGTATGGAAGAAACCACTGACAACAGTTTAAAAATGTGTTATTCAGAGGATCACTTTTATAGAATAAGAACTTTGAAATGATTTTTTTTCCCCTTCTAATGGAGTAAGGTGCCCAAACTCTGCCAGAGGTACAACAGCCACAGCAAGAGTCAAGGGTTCAGGTCTTTCCTTTAATTTGTCACCCACTGTTTGGCTCTGGAGTAGCTTTAAGAAGCAGATTTACACCACACTGACTGAAGGTCACACACATGTGTACAACAGCAAAAGTGGGTGAGGCTATTTTTTTTTTGGTTTGTTTGTTTGTTTGTTTTCTTTTTTTGTAAATATCAGGAATTTATTGTGATCTAGTTTTAATGTTTTTCTGAGTTATCACTTGTGTTCGCCATCAGTAATGTAATATTTCATGCTGTCTTGGATAAGTTTGATTTGACTGCCTACTGTCAGTAAACTTGAATGTGGCGTGTACGACCTTATCGATCTGTATATTCAGTTTGATTTGAGGGGAATTTGCCACATGTGCAGCTAATAACAGTCAACACTGGGGGGGAAAAAAGACGAGATACTTTCACCTTCCATCAATAAAGCATGTTTTATTGAAACGGTCATATTTCACTACAGTACTTGACTTCACATTCCTCACACTCAACACAACATACAAGATCAAGTCGAAAGGAAAAAATGGAATATGGAACAGGTTTGATATGAAAACGGCAATCGTTCTCCACTCGACAAACATAATACCCACACGATAAAACCATTTGATAAATCAAGCATGCCCTGATCATCAGTCAAGGTGATCAAATGTGTTGTTTTTTCTTTCATTTTGGCCCAGTATATTTACATTACAAGCTGTTTGCTGCAAGACAGAAAGCTCTTTATTCAAAGTTTCCATGAAAACTTTTTAAAAAATATTTCTTTACAATGAACCAATGATGGAAACATTTATTGCGCTGACACAAAAACCAACACTGGTCATACCCATAAACTGTATATAAAAGATGGCGTTCAATGGACTTTTAGGTATGAAGAAGTATTTTTAATGGTTTATTCCGCGATGGCTACTCTGATTGCAGAAAGAGTTATGGACCTATAAAAGTCTTAAGTCAGCGGTCCCCAACCCCCGGGCCTCGGTCCGTGAGTCGTTTGGTACCAGGCCACGAGAGTTGAGGCTCAGGTGTGAAATGTATGGTTTTCAGGGTTTTTATCGGTTTTCAGCGTTATTTTGTTATCGTTTTTATTGTTAACTCTGTTTTCCTGGGTCTTTTCACGTGTGTTATGAATAAATCTTTTTTTCGGTACCAGTACTAGTTTTATTTTGTTGTATTTATCCGCGACACCTGGTCAGAGGGTCCGGTGGCGCTAGTGTCCGGCAGCCTCGCCTCTGTCAGTGCGCCCCAGGGTGGCTGTGGCTACAATGTAGCTTGCCATCACCAGTGTGTGAATGTGTGTGTGAATGGGTGGATGACTGGATATGTAAAGCGCTTTAGGGTCCTTAGGGACTAGTAAAGCGCTATATAAATACAGGCCATTTACCATTTTACCTTAAAGGCCGGTCCGTGAAAATAATGTCGGGCATAAACCGGTCCGTGGCGCCAAAAAGGGTAGGGACCGCTGTCTTAAGTGACCTCAGAAGTCCTCAAATTCCTTCCTATGTCACTCAGCATTTTCCTGATTGGCTGAATGAACTGCTTGATTAAGAGCATGTTGAATACAGTACTAAATTATAGTTGTTATGGCTAGAATATAACATAAAACTAAATAAAATTCTCATTGACTAATGACTCACTTTTCATACCAGTTCCAGAGGCGGGAAACGACTAAATGCAATTACTGTTACTGTACTTAAGTCAAATTTTCAGGTATTTGTGCTTTAAGTATTTATTTTTCTGATGACTTTTTACGTTTAATGTATTTTCTACTCCTTCCATTTTCAAAACAGGCTCATTATTTAGGTGTGGGGAGTCATTATTTCCTACTGCATGCTTTAAAACATTAAGCCAGTTTACATAAGTAAATTGGAGTATCCATCACCAATGTTGAGCAAAATTGAAGCTGATGATTCACTCACTGAATTCCACCTTTATTCTGAGTACAAGTTGTAAATCGGCGTCGATAGCTTGTGCAAGATCTACTTATATCTTGTTGATTTCACCTTTTAATCTTCAAAGAACAGCAGCAGCACACCTCAGCTGATCACAGTCTGCCAGTGGGTTACATCATGTTGGGTAAGTCCATCTTTTATATGCAGTCTGTTCTCATACTTCATTCATGTGTTTCTGTTTTCTAAACCAAAAGAAAAAGTCGCTGCCACAACATCCACACAAAAACATGCTGTAATAAAATAAGGGGAGCCTAAAATTAATACATAATGTTAGTTTCCTAATGGAAAAGGCCTACCAATGTGTGTATACAGACACACATTGAGAGTTTTAATTTTTGCTTTACATACATTATATTCCAAATCTCTTTCGAGTTGTTGTTGTTGTTGTTGGGTTACTTTAACACCAGAGACTTAAAGTTTGAGTATTTCAATCAGATTTTTATTTCATTTTATTCTATTTTCTTTGGCACAAATACACATTCATCTTAAGCTTTCATAACCCAGTTAACCCAGTCAAACCACTTTCACATTGGAAATTATTTACAACGAAACTCCAGTTTTATATAACAACAAAAAAACTCTTTGTAAATGTTCTCACACGCTGGCAAATGTTGTCGTTAAAACGATGAGACGATTAAATGAACTGCATGAAAATCCATCACAACCCTGTTTAAGCCACGTTTACAGACTGGATTTAAATATATAAGCAATTTCAGTGGTACAACTTCAGCCACCAGTATAATAGTTAAGCCACATCAAGGTAATTGTAGAGCAGGGATTTCACTCAGTGATCACCTGTGAAGCAGAGGAAAAAATTACTTTGAAGTCCAGAGAAACAAAGTCTTACAGTTGGTTCAGCGAGGCTCGCCATATTTTATTTTTTGATTTAATTAAACATAACTCTGACCGTTCTAGACAAGCGCCTGTTTCAAAGAAGTGATCCCTTTCAGTAAGTGGTTTTAGCTGATACCCCAAAAGTACTGTCATGACAGATGAACTCGAGAACTCCCTCTCATGTTTAAATGAGTTCCCATGAAGTCATTTTATACTGGAACTGGACTATTTTCAGCTTTCCACTCTTACTCTTACCATTGAGATTCGGATTACCATTTACGAGCTATGACTCGCAAACTGTCTCCACTGTTTATTGCTAACTATTAGCTTACCATCTCAACCATGTGTGCACTACTTAGCTACCACCCCAAAAATGCTGTTCATCACATTTATTGGCCGGTTTTTAAGTATTAATGTTTAGCTAACACATTTGTTGACTGTTAGATAAAACTAAGGATAATCCAGAGTTAAATGATACTGTTAGCTATTCTTAACATAGCTTCTCCACATACCAAGCAGTCTGGTGTACCATTAGCCAACAGTTTCAATTGTTAATCTTAGATTTAGCCAATAATTTCCAGCTGTTTAGTGACAAATCTGTTTCAGCTGTATTTATCTATACTGTTGGATGATAATTTCATGCTAGCACATTTTTAATTAATAAACCTTTTTATTCACAATTGATGCTAACTATATCAACCATCCTTTTATGTTTTCTTTTCCGCTTTATTTTTCTATTGCATTACATAGAACAGTAATTCTAAACCAAGAATAAAAGTAACCCCTAACACAGTGTGAGCAGAAAACTGTGGATCATAGATTGCATATAAAAGAAAGATGCAGTTTTAGGATTGAAACGTGAAGCTAATGCATGTGGGGAAAAATGTCCTTGGTTCCCTTGATGTTGTTCTGTGACCTCAATAAATGCTTTGATAAGATAAAGAGCTTAAGAGCTAGTTGCAAATCTTATTTAATACAAAATGATCTGCATTTTAAAAAATTATAATACCCATTCTAGTCAAACAGGAGGATAAACAGAGCATGCAAGCCTACTTACTGTATGACCTGCTAGCCTACTTCCTTTGGTTTCTGACTCCTCACTCTTTACGAATCTTCTTTGATTAGATTAGATTAAACTAGACTACATTAGCCTTTATTTTCACCCTTGGCAGAATGTTATCTTGGATAAACGAGGAAACACATTATGTAAGATAATACACAAACACTCATTTACAATTTCACCTATTTCAATTTATTACTTTATGCAATAATTCATACCTATTTATCTTAAAGTTGGAAACTCTGCCTTTTTCCTCAAGGCATAAACTTATAATTAAACTCCAAAGGGGATACTTTTACCCCTGGGTAAAAATTATTTTTCTAAAGACTGATTCTTCTTTTATACATTTTATCTAAGATATTAAGAGATACGAGATCTAAAATTATGCTGTGTTTGCAAAATAAAAAAAACCCAAACTACCTACATGTCATGTGAAAGAATAATTTTTTGCCTTCCATAATAGCAACAATTTAAGCTTTTATTTTACAAAAGTAATCCACACATTTCTTATGATTTCTGAAGTCTGAGACCTGAAGGCAATCACATATATTATAAGATCCAAATGTAGATGCAGCTATCATGTGAGCAAAATTAAGTGTATTATAACACAATCAGAGCAAATCCATTTACTTCACCAGTGTTTTAATTGCTTTGACTTTTCCTACTCATGCATGGGGTTCTGCTCATGTTGCAATCTGTCCTCTTTTTTAAAGCTGAG